TATGCATTCTTGCACAGACTGGATCATAACAGTTAAACAAAATATGTGAATCAATGACACCAATGTACACCAGGTAGCATTGTTTTGTTTTCAATTAATTGTTAAGGAATCTCAGATCTATTATGAAACATCAGGAACTATAACTTGCAACTTTGGTACTTTGAGAAACATGAAACATCATAATTTATCATGTTCTAACTTCTAACAAATGTCAAGATTCATGGGCGACATAAATGTGAGGCAAGTATCAAAGAGTAAAGACCGCCTTCATGGAACATGTTTACTGTGCACGACTTCACCTAGGAAATCATTATCTATTCCAAGAAAGTAACAGATTATGCATTATTGTACTCATATGTGTTGGGATCCTCGTGCTATTTATCCACTAACATGACACTACCAGTGCATTGTGATGCACCACCATGCTCTAAACAGTATCTGATCCCCATCACCTTGCCGTGATCTGCTTGCAATATTGCATGTTCCAAACTCATGTTATTGACATCCTACTACATGTAGATCTGTGATATGCATGCCAACTGTATTTTTTAATGAACCATGCAATGGATCCTCGTGAATAGACATGCATGTCAACTGCATTTTTTACTCCCTCCGTTCCTAAATAATTGTCTTTCTAGATATTTCAACACGTGACTACATACGGAGCAAAATGAGTGAATCTACACTCTAAAATATGTCTACATACATCCGTATATTGTAGTCCATTTGAGATGGCTAGAAAGACAATTATTTAGGAACGGAGGGAGTAATTAACTATGCATGGATCCTCATGAATAGTGTCTAGAAATCAATGGTGTCGAGCGTAGGTTCGGCTGAACTATGGTTCCGTACAACATTTTCGTATTGTCCCCTCCAATCATGGATGGCACTCGGCATGCTCCTACCTCTGTTCAGCTATAAATTATTTGTCAGCAGCCTCCGGACACCATCACTTCACCCCACTACTCAGGAGGAATTGTCACGGAAGAAATTATACACAATCTGCAAAAAGATGAACAGGTTTCATCCAGAGCATCAATGCAAAATGAGAAGCAGGTTGCATTAAACAAAACAAACCTCCACTAAAGCTGTGTTCTCCTCTGGAAGCAAGCCGAGCTACAAAGTGCATACTCTGTACATTCGTAATAAATTCTAGCACTACTAGAGGCATGTGTGGCTCGAGTTTGGAGTATGTCCCTTTTTGACGACTTTTATTTATACATCTCAACCATCCAAAGTACATAGACGGTGATGTGTGCAATGAACCAATTATTGCCAATGAGCAGTGAGCAATATATTTGAGTTCTTCCTGTCATGAACGCTAACTTGGCTCGCCTATATATATGTAGGATACCTTCCGGGTCACTTCTCTAGCACTGTTAGCAGGCATGAGCCACTCAAATTCCATAGCAGTATGGCAACCTAGGTTTGAGACACTAGTGGGAGAGGGTTCGATTGAAGTGATCACCATGCTAGTTTATCTTAATGCTAGCACCACAAAAAGTGAGGATCTGGAATGGGAATGGGTGGTGTTGGGAATAGGTGTAAAACGACATTATAAGGAATACCGATCCAGGCCTAGCAGGCAAGCTTGCAGATTGCAAAGGAACTCTCTGTGAACGTATGATGAAGTGACAAATGTGAATACGAAGCTTGAGCCTTCAGCGGTTGGCACAAGCTTGAGCCTAATTCTGTTACACAGAGTCATCGCCATGCATTCTAGTTTTCAGTCGGCCCATGATATGCTTCGGTACACCCCCTTAAAAATTCTGTTTTGGTCCAGCACTATATAGTGAATTCCCATAAAGTTGTAATTTTACACATCTGCATATAATTAACTGCAGAAAATAGCATGCCTTGATATTGTTCCCTATGTAGTGTAAATTATTTTCTTAAAGAATAATTTATATTTATTGAGAAGTGCCTTGCATTGCATGTGCATGGTTACTAGTACTAGTAGTAGCACACTAAAAGCAACTACTGCCTAGTTTTTAGAAATATAATCCAAGTTAATTCTGTACAATCTCTTCCAAGAAAAATAAAGGGTAGTATCTTCTGTACTAAATATACGGTCCAAATCTCTTCTCAAAGAAAAAAAAAGATCATGTTCTAAAGGCATCCACGTAAGTTCAGATCTTAAAATGGAAGAGACTCCCACAGTCACAAGACCAAAATCCCCCATATCCCAACAGTCGGTACATCAAGCATGCTATTTGTATCCCAACACAAAGATCACAACACTCAGTACAGTAAGCACGCTATTTGTACAGTAAGCCTTGATCTTCAGACTTTGGTCTAAGACTCTGAGTCGAGAAAAAAGACACAGCCAGAGATTACATGAACTTCTTTTCAAAAATTCATTTGATACGAGCCGCCCACAGATCTCAGTGTCCTGGGTTCCTAGTTAAGTGCAGCAAATCGATTCATTGTTAAATTTTGCCCCTTCAAAATTGGAACGGGCTACAAGCATAAATTTCAATAAAATAATGGTGGCAAAAGAAAGCAACCTCGAGACTGAAGAATAGCAGTGAATTTTACTTAGAAAAAAGATACAGAAGGTAATTTTACTGTGTTTAGCCCTACGATATGTGGACTACCAACAAACCTTTCAGAATACTTAGGAAATGGTAAAGGAGACCCTGCACTGCACTGGACAAGAGAGTAAATGTCTTGAAGTTTTATAAGTAAGCAGCTATTCAAAGCAACAAATGAATCAATTTAAATCAATAAGCAAGGCTTCTTAGTACTTAAATCCATAAAAGAAGAAGGTCTACATCAGATTTTGATTGCCTCGGTTCCGGTGTCTCGACAAGATTTTCGATACTAATATTTTTATGAACAGTCAGATATGTAGTTGTACTGTATTGATATGCATTGGAATAAATAGCCATTTGTCTTACAAAAAAATACTAGCATTGTTACAAGCATGTATGGCTGCATTGTGTTGGAGGTCTGAGTATGTCTTTTTCTAACGACTTTGGTTTATAGATCTCAACCATCCAAAGTACACAGAGAGTGATGTGTGCAATGAACCAATTATTGGCCAAGTGAGCATTGAGAAATATATTGACTTCTCTAGTAAAACCATACATGAATGCTAAGTTGGCTATAGCCTATACATATGTAGCATACTTTCATGATCACTTCTCTAGCATTGTTAGCAAGCATGAGCCACTCAAATTTCAGAGCAGTATGATAGGCTAGGTTTGAGACCCAAGAGGAGGAGGGTTCGATTGAAGTGATCACAGTAATCTTGGTATTTTTATAGAATGCCTGGTATTTTTATAGAATGCCAGTAATCTTGGTAATTTTCTAGAATACCAGTAATCTTGGTATTAGCATCACAAAAGGGAGTATCTGGAATGGTAATGGGTTGTGTTGGGAATAGGTGTCAAACCATGTCAAATAAAATACCTATCCAGGCCTCGCCATCTTGCCGACGGGTTGCAGGGTCACTCACCGTGAGCCTATGATGTCGTTACTAATGTGAATATGAAATTTGAGTCTTCAGTGGTTTACAAAAGCAAATGTATCCTCCCGCTTGCCTATTCTGCTACAGAGTCACTGCCACACCTTTTAGTTTCCAATCAGGCGTTGATGTGATTCGGTACACCCCCCCTGAAAATTATATTTTAGTTTTGAATTCTAAAGTGAACCCCCATAATGTGGTAGTCCGACCGATCTGGACTTAATTAACTTCTAAGAAATAGCATGCCCTGATATTGTTCTCTAAGTTGTGTGAATTATGTTCTTACTAAATGTTACTTTATATTTGTTGAGAAGTGCTTTGCGTGTGCATGGTTACTACTCCCTCCGTCCCAAAATAAGTGTCTCAGACTTTGTACTAGCTCTAGTACAAATTTGTACTAAGCTCAAGACACTTATTTTGGGACGGAGGGAGTAGTACACAAAAAGCAACTAGCTACTCCCCCTGTCTGAAAATAAGTGTCATGGTTTTAGTTCAAATTTGAACTAAAACTACGACACTTATTTTGAAACGAAGGGAGTATTTCTTAGAAATATTACTAGTTTCTTCTGTACTGAATATGTGTTCTGAGTCTCTTCCAAGAAAGAAAGATAGTGAACATGCTCTAAAAGGGATCCACATAAGTGCAGATCTAAAAATGGAAGAGACTCCCGCAGTCGCAAGACCGAAATCTGTCAAATTCAAGTATCCCAGCACAAAAGACAAGCACTCTCTGTACAGTAAGCCTTGATCTTCAGACTTGGCTTCTGAGTGCAGAAGAGAGCTTGTGTCCTGGGTTCCTAGCTGGGAGCAGCAAATTGATTCATCGTTACATTTTGTCCCATCAAAATTGTAGCGGGCCATGAGCACAAAATTCAGTAAAATAATGGTGGCAAAAGAAAACAGCCTCGAGATTGAAGAATAACAGTAAAACGAACGATGTGATTCAGTGATGCCAATGTAAACCAGGTAGCATTCTTTTGTTTCCAACCAATTGTTAACGAACCTACTATAACTTGCCACTTGATACTTCGATACGAGATCATGCAACATCTTACTTTGATACTTCGGTTCTAACAAAATTCCAACATTCAAGGATAACATAAATTATGATACACGTACCAAAGAGCAAAGATCACTTTGACGGAACATGTTACTGTACTTTACCTAGCAAATAATTAATTGTACAAAGAAAGGAACAAATTATGCACTCCTCTACTGATATGCTGCACTCGGAGCAGCGTATTATATTTTCAAATACCACATTCAAAAGCTTGTCTATTATTAACTGAACATAGCTATATATATACAGCAACTCGTTGACCAAACTACTGAAATTGGGATACATAATGGGGCGAACATTAAACTGCAAAATCCTCTCATATAAATATATTCAGACATAATATACGTTGAAGGCACAAAAGTACTCTTTCAGCAGATCATGCATCAGTACATTGTCTCACTAACTGTTCACATAAGGTAACTAACAGCAACTACTTACGATACATTATTGACCTCATCGGTGACAGCCACTCTATAAACTCAGCAGGCTTCCTGTATAAATGCCAATGGATTTGGGGTCTCTCAGTTTTAGCGAATCGGGATAAGTGTCATTCCTTGGATCATAACTTAGCAGAAATCCCTCTCCTGGCTCTCCATTACCAAGGATACCTTGTAGATTACCCTCTGCACTGAAGAAGATCTTCCCATCATCTAACATCAGAAAAGGGTAACTAAAAGGCCTAGCAACATGTGAAGGCATGCTGTATTTCTTAACCCAGATAACTTTCTCAAAATCTGTTAGAAACCACAAGTCCATAGATATGTCATGAATATTGTGAACCATAACCAAACAACCATTCAACTCAGCCAATGATAACTGGAGTTCAAGTTTTGAGTAACTGTAATCCTCATTCTCTTGCACAAACATCTGCACCTGTTCTGGACCACGTAGAACACCCCACTCTTCCGTCTCAAGGTTGAAATAAGCTATGCTGCCAGGCTCAATGGTTATAACCCCAGTTTCAACGTATGTGGAGTAAAAGTCCATCAAGAAGTACACCATCCCATCGACGACCACGCATCTCATCTTGCGACCGCTACAGATATGGGATGGAGGGTCCTGTTTTCTCCTCCAGCTTCCATGGTTCATGTCATCAAAGGTGATAATCTCACATACCTGCCGGTCACCAATCTGCCGGTAACCAATTCTAGAGACACGTAGTGCCTTGTACTCTCTGGTAGAGGAGACCTGCCCAATTGCACACGACTGGACTTGGCAGCGCCAGTTGTTCATTCCCTTCACCTCTAGCTCATGGACCAATTCCTCTGAAAAGTCAATCGGCAAGGTGATGGTAGCTCCACTGGCCGGGTTCAGCACCCAGAAACCCGGAGAGAACAAAATCCAGTTGAAACAGACGAGGTCTAGCCGCGTGCGTGCAACACGGATGCTATCGCCCTTGCTTGTGAGCCGGCGAACGGCATCACCCGACTCGTTCACCAAAACAACCTCATAGCCGGTGCCTGGAAACCTCTTCACGACGTTGCCGACAGATCCGAAATAGCAACGCCGTTGACCTCACCGTCGTCGCGGTAGCCCATGGCGAGGAGCGGGGGCGCCGTGTGGTGGCGGCACATGTGCGCCGCGATGAAGAATGGGTCGGAGGTGAGGGCGCGCCAGGAGGGGCAGACGGCGCGGAGGCGGCAGAGGTCCTTGGCCGGGATGCGGAGGAGGACCTCGTACAGCGCGTCCGCGGGCAGGTCGCCGGAGCTGGAGGCGGCGGGGCGCGGCTTCGAGGACGACATCGCTGCGGTAAATGGAAGTGTTGAGCAAGCGAGGGAACCAAATCGACGATGGGTTCAGATGCGGTTGTGCGCCGAGGAGACGAAGGAGTTGATCTTACCGAGGGAGCTGGCGGCGGGCAGGCAATCGCCGGAGACGAGATGCCGGAGGAGAAAGCCGGCGGTGAGTCGCCGCACTGATCGAGGGTTTGGTTTAGACCTTTGTGACAGAAAAAGGCTCGACTGCGATGTGTCCCCAACTGTTTTGGTTCATAAGTCACTTTTTTATCCCAACTTATAAGTTTCAAGTTCTTAAAAAGTCCTTACCTGTTTGGTTCCGGAGATTTATAAGACCATATTATAACCATAAGTCCTTATAAGTCCCTCCTTAAGAGTCTTATTTCATAAGTCTCAAATGCTCATTTTAAGTCCCTATAAGTCCCTCCTGTTTGGTTTAGATGAGACTTATAAAGATGTTTTTAAGTCTCTAAGTCAATAAGTTCCTGAAAACAAACCCCCTCTTAAGCTTTTCTTCCGTTTGTGACCCGAGAAGTTAAGGCCCATGCTGAATTATTTTGCGATCTGAAGTCCCGAATTCCCTCTCTCTCTCTCTCTCTCTCTCTCTCTCTCTCTCTCTCTCTCTCTCTCTCTCTCTTCTTTTAGCGACCCAAGATTTCATGCTGAAATTGGCTGACGCTCCCTCCCCTTTGGTGCAGCGCATGGACGAGAGTTGAGAACTAGACATCGGAAAAGAAGGCAACAGTCGCTGGTTGCAATCTCGGATGGCATGGGCGCTTGAGCTACGATCGTGCTATATTTTTTCTTTTTTGCGAAATACTTTATTTTTCGAGTAAAAAACGCTCTTATATTATGGGATAGATGGACTAGCTATGATCCTGCTGTATGTCCTAATCAGCCCACATTATGTCATGGTGTAATAAATATTAGAAGTATATGCCATACCAAAAGAATTGCCATGTTGTGTTAAATTAACTTGCCATATTATAGGGAATATGCTTCCCATAGACACGTGGAAAAATTTGGAAAGGTACATTAAAAATAAATTTTGCCATGCTACCTACAATAAACTACATTAGTCTAGCTACTAATGAAAATTGCCATGCTCGAAAAAGTAAAAGTGCCAAGGTCTAATGAATACCAAAATGTCTAGCAGAATAAAATTTCCATGCCATCAAAAATAAAACTAACATGGTGTAATTAATAATTTGGCCATGGTATAATTAATAAATTTGCCATCATCTGAAAAATAAATTTGCCATGGTACACGAATTGAAATAGCCATGGTCTAATTTAACAAAGTTCCATCATATAAATAGTATAATTACCATGGTACCTAAAAAAATAAAACTATCATGCTCTAAATAGTAAAAATGCCATGTTCAAAGTAGTAAAAATTGCCATAGTGCCTGTAATAAAGTTGCACATGGAAAAAATAGCATGAGTCATCATTTTATGCTCTTATGATGATTATCTACAAAATTGCCATGAGAAACAAATTGCCATGTGAACATTTCAAACATTCATACAACTTGCCATGTGAACATTTCGAACATTCATACAATTTGCCATGTAAACATTTTGAAGACATTCAAACTATTTGCCGTATAGGAAAGAATATATACACACTAGTAGAAAAGGGGGCATTGGTCCAGGCCGGGTCAGCCCATTAGTCCTGGTTCAATCCAGAACCGGGACCAATGGGGACATTGGACCCGGTTCGTGAGCCCCGGGGGCCGGCCGGGCCACGTGGCCCATTGGTCCCGGTTCGTCTGGACCTTTTGGTCCCGGTTGGTGGGACGAACCGGGACCAATGGGCCTCGCTCCTGCCCCACCACCATTGGTCCCGGTTAGAGGCATGAACCGGGACCAAAGGCCGCCCATTAGTCCCGATTCATACCACCAACCGGGACTAAAGGGTTGGTCCTCGTTGCGGCCAGAGTTTAGTCCCACCTCGCCAACCGAAGGGGGCTCACACCGGTTTAAAAGCCCCTCTCTCTCTGCCTTGTTGAGCTCCTCTCAAAATGAAAATAGATGCCCTTATACAAGAAATTTGACCTAAATTCATACTGAATTTCTCTGAAGTTAGTAGAAATTTATTATGAATTTAGGTTGAATTTTCTCTATAAGTGCATCTATGCTCATATTTTTAGTAAAGTTAATCACAACTATTTTTTCTTCTATTTATTACTGAGTAGTTTTTTATATAGTTTTTTTTCTTTTCTGCTATATTTATTTTTTTCTATTTATTTCTGAGTTGTAATAAGTCATTAAAAATAAAAAAGATTTTACTAAAGTTAATCACAACTATTTTTTCTTCTATTTATTTCTGAGTAGTTTTTTATATAGTTTTTTTTCTTTTCTGCTATATTTATTTCTTTCTGGTAATAAGTCATTAAAAATAAGCATATATGCTCATTTTTTTAGTAAAGTTAATCACAACTATTTTTTCTTCTATTTATTTTTGAGTAGTTTTTATATAGTTTTTTATTTTCTGCTATATTTATTTTTTTCTATTTATTTCTGTGTGGTAATAAGTCATTAAAAATAAGCATCTATGCTCATTTTTTTAGTAAAGTTAATCACAACTATTTTTTCTTCTATTTATTTCTGAGTAGTTTTTTATATAGTTTTTTTCTTTTCTACTATATTTATTTTTTTATATTTTTTCTGAGTTGTAATAAGTTATTGAAAATAAAAAAGATATTAATAAAGTTAATCACAACTATTTGTTCTTCCATTTATTTCTGAGTAGTTTTTTATATAGTTTTTTTTTCTTTTCTGATATATTTATTTTTTCTATTTATTTCTTTGTGGTAATAAGTCATTAAAAATAAGCATCTATGCTCATTTTTCTAGTAAAGTTAATCACAACTATTTTTTCTTCTATTTATTTCTGAGTAGTTTTTTATATAGTTTTTTTTCTTTTCTGCTATATTTATTTTTTTCTATTTATTTCTGTGTGGTAATAAGTCATTAAAAATAAGCATATATGCTCATTTTTTTAGTAAAGTTAATCACAACTATTTTTTATTCTATTTATTTCTGAGTAGTTTTTTATATAGTTTTTTTCTTTTCTGTTATATTTATTTTTTTTCTATTTATTTCTGAGTTGTAATAAGTCATTACAAATAAAAAAGAGGCGCAATGCTAGTTAATTCGCTTCAAGCCTTTCGGAATATTGTAAACTGCACTGCACATAGCTCCGTGCAGTCTACCCTATTCCTCAAGGCTTGAACCGAACCAACGTGCAGGTGAGCATTGAGCCTCTTCTTTATCGTCTCTGCACTCAGGGCTTATAAACAGCTGCGAGTGCCTCTCGCTTGGCGAGGTGGGACTAAAAAAACAGCTGCAGAAAGAATCAACTAAAAAACAGCTGCAAAAAATAAATAAGTAATTAGACGGGTCCATTGGTACCGGTTGGTGGCTCCAACCGGGACCAATACCCCTCTTTGGTCCCGGTTGGTGGCTCCAACCGGGACCAATGCCTCCCCTTTAGTCCCGGGTGGTGGCACCAACCGGGACCAAAGCCCTCTGCTTCCCGCCCTTTGGGCTGCTGAAAAGAGGCCTTTGTTCCTGGTTGGTGCTACCAACCAGGACTAAAGGGGGCATTAGTCCCGG